GTACCAGGTACACTCCCCCAGATCTTTCACCGGAAACTTCTTGTTGAGAGAAGCGAACAACTCCTCTCGCTCTCCCTCGTCTGCCGCCACTAAGATGTCATCAACGTAGATCACGATGAGACCTACGACCTTTCCATCCACCACCTTCCGGACGACACACGGGTCAACCCTGTACTTCTCGTATCCGTTCTCGATGAGGGCATCGGCAGCTTCAAACTCCCACTCACGGCCACTCTGCTTTGGGCCGTACAGGGCACGCTCAACCTTTACCACCTTGCCGGACATGCTACCACAGCCTTCCGGGAACCTGAGGTATATTTCTTCTTTTTGCTTAGCGTGGATGTACGCTTGCTTCACATCCCAGTGAACGAGTTTCTTGCCCTTTTCAGTGGCTACGGCAATCACCGTCTTGATAGACGCTGCAGACAGGCACGCTGAGGATGAGTGGTGGAAGTCGATGCCGGGATTTGAGAGGAACCCCGCGCAACCATACGGGCCTTGAAGTCGACCATTAGGCCCTTCTCATTCGTCTTCCAAGAGAACAACCACTTTGAACCTATGGCCTTCCGCCCCTCGGGCAGCTCCTTGACCTTGGTCAAGGTTCCAGTCTTGTCGTGGCCATCTATCTCTTTCGTCATGGCCGCCTCCCAGGAAATCTTGTACTTGAAACACATCACATACTTGTACGTCATCGGTACTGCTTCCACATCACTCGGCTTCTGCCCGATTGGCGAGGTTATACTTAGCTGTGGGTCTGGGAGTGGTTGCGAAGACCCGCTGGCGTCGACCTCGGCCCCGAACGCCTGCTGTTCCGGGCCCAACACCTCCTGCATCTCGCGCCTGTACATCTCCTCCATACGGCGTGTCTGCTCCTCGTCCCACTGCTCCTTCACAAGCGAGTTGTAGCTGTAGTCCTTAACAATCCCCGTCCCGCCAGTTTCCAGGATGGTCGCCAGCAATGCCTCTTCCGGGTCCGGTGTTTCTCCGGGCCCCGGCATCTCCCCGGCACCTTGCATCTCCCGGGTCTGCTTCCGCGTGCGGCCACTCTCAAGCCCATGGCGCAGCGGGCCAGCGTTCGAGGCGCCCCAGAAGAGTTTCTTCCCTTCTTGCCCTCGGGGCTAGCGGTCGCCGGCTGGATCATACTTCAACTCCTCGAGGTTCTCGGAGTCGCCGGAATCAGAAACCGCTACCGCCGTCCACACCTGGGTCGCCGGACTCTTCGCCACCCGGGCCGCCGGCACCGCCAGCGCCACTGCTGCTGCTGCTGCTGCTGTCGGTGGGACTGTTACTGCCTTCGCCGAAGTCGCCCCTTCCCGAAGGGGGCGACGGGGGAACGCTGCCTCCGTCCCCCGGAATCCCGTTGCCGGGTGCCGTCGGCGCCTCCTCGCGCACAAACGGCGTACCTTGCCCTGGCCCACGAGCCTCCATCACGTCGAGGTCGGACTCATTCTCTATGTCTCTCTCCCCCCCCCAACCTTGGCGTGATGCATCCGCTCTGCTCTCCCCCCCACCGCCCTCTTCGTCATCTGCGAGAGGTAGCAGCTGCGGGGGAGCGGGCGATGCAGCGGGCACGTGGCGCCAGGTGGAAATGCGGGTGGTGATTAGGGTTCCAGCTTCGGTTAGCATGCGAACGCAGTCACGGGGGTGATTGTGGGCAGGACCAAGGTACCATCCTT